CTGATGAAGTGATGCCTCACGTCAATGTGCTTTGTCCTTGGGCGATATGCAGCTGTTTTAGCAAGGTCTATGCTTCCTCTGTTATCACACAGAACCCTGGTTGGAGTAGCGACATATTCCCTTGACACATCTTGAAATAGATTCCTTATCCAAAGAATTTCTTGACAGGCGGAGGACAACGACATGTACTCTGCCTCTGTCGTCGAAAGAGCAATCGTAGTTTGCTTCTTCGAATTCCATGATATTGGTCCACCATTGAATCGTAGTAAGTAGCCTGTGATTGAATGTCTTTCGTTTAGCTGGTTGCCCCAGTCGGAATCACAAAACATCTCTAAGTTTGCTTCTTTAAATCCGTAGCAAATTGATGTGTTTACCGTTCCTTTGAGGTACCTAAAAATTCTCTTCACAGCCATCCAATGATTTTTGGCTGGATCCCTTGTGAATCTGCTTAAAACGCCTACTGCGAAACTGATGTCCGGTCTAGTCGTTTGACTCAAATATAGAAGCGATCCAATCGCTTGTCTGTACGGGATCTTCTTCATTTCCATCCTGTCTTCATTGGTCCTAGAGTCCTCTTCTTTGATCAACTGCTGACTCACATCGAACGGTGTCGATACTGGATTACATTCAGCCATGTTGAATCTTGAGAGAATTGTTTCTATATAATGTCGCTGTTCTATCCATAGTTTCCTCTGACTTCTGTTGCGATGAACGTGCATGCCTAGGAAATACTTGATTGGTCCTAAGTCTTTGATCTTGAATCTTTTGTTCAATTCGTTCTTGACCTTTTTTATTTCATTTCTGTCTTCACTGATGATCAATATGTCGTCAACATATATGATTATGTAGATAATCGTGTTTCCTTTCCTGTAGAAGAAGACACATTGATCAGCTTTTGATTGTACAAATCCCATTCGCTTTAGCGTTTCAGTAAGTTTGATGTTCCAGGCACGACTGCCTTGCTTAAGGCCATATATCGCTTTTTGAAGTTTACATACTTTTCTGGGATGATAAACGTTCACAAAACCCTCTGGTTGACTGATGTAGACTTCTTCTTCGAGTTCTCCATTGAGGAAAGCGGTGTCTACGTCCAGATGATCCACGTGAAGATCCTTTTTTGCTGCCAATGCTAATAACAATCTAATTGAAGCGAGCCTGGCCACTGGTGCGTACGTTTCATCGAATTCTTGTCCATATTTTTGGGAGCATCCTTTTGCTACCAAGCGTGCCTTGTATCGCTCCAGATTTCCATTCTCATCATATTTTCTTTTAAATACCCATTTGGTACTGATTATCCTTTTTCCTTGTGGCAAGTCGACCAATGTCCATGTATTGTTTTCTTGTAGACTCTTTATCTCTTTCTCCATCGCCTTTCTCCATTCTATTCCATTCTCGTCCTCCAGCGCTTCCTTTAAGGAGGACGGATCTGTGGATTTCTCAGCGTACGTGAGATATGTGGCTTGTTTGTCTAACTGTCTATTCTTTTTTGTTCGAGCGGATCTTCGCGGTGTGACTGGTTCTGTATCTGTTGGTTTTGTTCTTTGTCCTTTTTGCTTCTTGATATTTTGGTGTGATGGCTTCGGTAAAGCCTTTTCTCGAACTTGCGGTGGGGGTTCTTCCTCCTCTTGTTGAAGAATATCTGCCTGTCCTTGTGGATAAATTTCTTCCTGAGCCTGTTCATAATCTTCTTGCATTGCAGATGAACACTCAGACGAAACTGTAATTATTGACTCGTTATCTGAAGTATCTTCATGTTGATTTTCTTCCGTGTTGCCTCCTGATAGATTCAGTTGAATTTGCTTCGGCTTCATTGAGGGAACCTGTGTGTGTGGCTCAATAAACGTTACATCACGGGCTTTGATTATCTCGCTTGTTCCTTTCTTCAACAATCTATAGGCCTTGGAGTCTTCACAATATCCTAGCGTAATGCATTCGGTTGACTTGGCGTCCCACTTCTTTCTCTTTTCTTTTGGGATGTGTGCCATTGTTTTACTTCCAAATATGCGGAGGTGTGATACGTCCGGTTTTACTCCACACCATGCTTCTTCAGGCGTTTTGAATTTCAATGCTGCTGTAGGCGACCTGTTGAGTAAATACGCCGCCGTCGACGTTGCTTCCGCCCAGAGACGAGTTGGAAGGTCTGCACTTATCAGCATGCTCCTGGCCTTTTCTACGACTGTTCGATTGTACCTCTCTGCAACACCATTCTGTTGTGGCGTGTAGGGTATCGTTGTCTGATGCCTTATGCCAGATTCTTGTAATTTCTTCTTGAGTTTGTTGTTAATATATTCCCTGCCGTTGTCGGACCTAATTGTTTTGATCCTTTTTTCTAGCTGATTCTCTGCGAAGTTCTTGAAAATTTCGAAATACTCGGGTACTTCTTCTTTACTTTTTAAAAAGTAAACAGTGGCTCTTCTGGAAAAATCATCAATGAAAGTTAAAAAATATTTGGCTCCTCCCATAGATGTTGTCTCCATGGGGCCGCATAAATCTGTGTGTATTAACTCGAGAACTTTCGTAGCTCTCCTACCTTTGTGTGTGTATGGTAATTTATGTTGTTTACCTTTAATGCATGTGACACAAACTTCGTGGTCTATACCTTGCAAATCATATCCAGTCACCAGACCCTTGTTTAGCAGCGCCATTGCCTTGCGATTAAGATGGCCTAAACGTTCATGCCATAATCTTGCGTTGCTTGGAATGATTGCTTTAAATGCCTTGTCACTTTGCGTATCTAACTTATAGAGCCCTCTGTACTTGGATGCTGTAGCCATAATCCTGTCATCTCTTCCTAATATGAAGCACTTGTCGTCCTTGAACTTCACGGTTAGTCCTCTGTCCGTTAACTGACTGACTGATAACAGGTTTGCACCAAGCTCTGGCACGTGTAGCACATCCTTTATTTTTATTTCGTCTATTTTGTTTTTTACCACAATCGAGGTGTTTATATCACCCTTTTCGCTTGATAAAATTTTTTTACCGTCCGCGATCTCGATTTCATTTTTGAAACTTTCACTTATATCCGCGAACCAATCGCGTCTACAGCTCATGTGTCTCGTCGCGCCCGAATCATGTACCAGTCTTTACTGTTTTTCGAATGTTTATTATCTGAGATAAACACTTTATCACTCGAGTTTGTCGTATACTTCGCACTTTCTGATCTATTCTTATTATTTGCGCTGTTCTGTTTATTTTTCTCGCTCGTTCTGCAGTCCTTGGCGAAATGACCGTGTTTATTACAGGCATAGCAACGAACACCACGTGACTTATTTGTCTTCTTAGCACGAAATGCCGAATCACCGTCTGTATGTTTCGTGTCCGTGTTGTGTTTCACGTCTTGAAGTAGCTTAGTTTTTATGGAGTCCGCTGATATTGGAATTCCGGAACTTTCCAGGCCCATTATCATCGGCCTGTATTCCTCTGGAAGACCGGCCAACAGGAGAGTGCCAATCCACTCATCCTTTACTTCAAATTTGAGCTCGTTGAGTTTATGCGCTGTTGTCATTATTTTATTTACATATTCTTCGGTTGACTCACAGTTTTGCAATTGCGTTGTGACTAAAGTTCTGAGCAATCCAACTCTCCGAGTCAACCCTGAATCCTCGAATGCAGCTTCGAGATTATCCCATGCTTGCTTGGGAGTCGTGCTATTTTGAATATGTATGTAATTTATTGGGTCAACTGAGAGTATGATCTTGGACCTTGCGCGTGTCATTTTCTTGGCGTCGGCGACATATTCCGTTGCGCCAGTCACGCATCCCCACAAGTCTTCATACTCTAGATATGCCTGCATCGCAAATTTCCATGAATTGAAATTGCTGCGCCCTTGCAATTTATCTATCTGAAGGGCCGCCAGTGATGCCTGATTTGCCATTGTATCGTATTCTGAATTGCACGGTACACTTCGAGAAATAGTCTCACATGTGACGGTCACGCACTAACTTCATGCGCATTAGAGTCAGCTTTTATTGTCTGTTTGCCGATACTCTCGGTACGCATTTGCGAAAAATAATTTCTGACGCGTGTTCACTTCACTCGCGGACTCGCGTTATTTTCGCTGATTTTTACCCTTTCCGTCTGGGCCCATAACCTGTTGGAGGTTTAAGGATCTTTCGGGTAAATTATGAGACGTGACTTTATGCGTGCGTACAGCGTGTATTTCAGACGGAGACTGACTGATACGTCAGAGAAGGGAATGCTTGGGAGCGCGATCTACCTTCGTTCGAACCAAAACAATATAACGAACTAGATAGGTAAACTGAACCAAAATTAAATTCAATATTTCAACAAAATTGGTTTTTTTTTAAGTTTTATCTGACAAAAAGGTAATCTGGTTTTGAAATATTAGATAGATAACAGCAAAAATTATGTGGATAATTTATCTAAATTACAAAATTATAAGTAAAAAGTAGAAATTATAAAATTATAAGTAAAAAGTAGAAATTCATTACTTTTGGCTTTAGAATAAAACATTTTTCTTTTATTCGGGAATGGATCTCTACTACTATTGTAAGAAACAAATTGCATCCGCGGTTCAAAATAACCGCCATAAAAATAATCTAACATTTTAGATCGATAACATTTAGATAGATAAAAAAATCTTACCTCAGATAAAGATAGAGGAAAAAGTTTTCTACATAAATTATTTAGATGATTTATATACATAGTTTTATGTAGACAATATTTTACACTGTTCAACTCTTATTATAATTATAAATTGAAGCTTTGTCTATCTTTTCTCAGGTACGTACAATGTAGCCCGTAAGGCAGCTATGAAGAAGGCTGACACTGGTCAAGCCTTGGACTCGGAAATAACGGATGGAGAAAAGGGAAGGGGCAAACGGCACGTTAAGAAGAAGAAACATTTTGATGATAGTGACAGTAAAGAGGACACGGAGAGCCCTGTGCTGAATGTTAAAAAAAAGAAGAAGACTTTCACGCAGGAGTCTAGTGATTCTGAGGATGACAGAGTGTTACCTTCTCCACAAATAAGTGGCATCCTCAAAGGATGTTTCTGGTACCTTGTATACACAGAAGAGTACTTCTGCATTTGGTAAATCAACGAAGGCAAGTCTTGCCACTACATCCAGTGAACGACAAAAGGAGAAGCAAATTACATCATCTATGAAATGTGACAAGAGACTCAGTTCAATGAAAACCCCTGATAAAACATCTTCAAACAGAACTTGTATTATAGATGATGACAGATGCACTGAAGCTTCGCATACAACTCCATCAAACGGTTCTCCTTCCTGTGTGAGTGTGCCAAAGAAGAAAATTTCCAGGATTCTTTTCAGTGAGTTTATACTGATGTTTTTATTGCATAAGATCTCTGAAATCAAGAGACTCGACAGTGTCTTGACACCAAGTAATTAAAAACAAATTTTAAAGTGTCAAGATAACGTCGTGCACTCTTTATACAGTAAGTTAGACTCTTACTGGTCATATTTATTAATTCTAACAGCACATTTTGATTTCTCTATTAGATGACGGCGGCAGCAATAATGAGAAATCGCCACATCTGATTGATACTCCACAAAAATGTAAGCTATTTGTTTACATACATTTCTATAAATTTTTACACTACGAATCTTTGCCACGTGTTATATACTGTTGATATACTGTGATGTACTGATGAGAAACGAACTGAACTTTTCTCTTAATTTGTATAAGTGTTTTATTAATTTGTAAACTGTTGTCATTAATTTCTCCTCTTCGTGATAAGCATGAGACAGAAGTTTTTGTATGGAAAATACAACAGAGCAGGAAAGATGAAGGGATTGACAAATTGTGCTGTTAAGATCTTTATATGATATTGTTTCTAATATATGCAATACATTGTTTTAGCCTGTTCATCTCAGCCAATGTATTCGACATCAAGTGTGGAAGTAATCAAGGTGGAGCTACTTTATGAGTTAAACAGTAAATTGGATTTTATAATGATACAAAATCAACGAATTATGAAGAAACTATACCCGGAGGAAGCTGCTCTCAAGAAACCAAAAGACTTTCCATCCCTGCCACTTCAATCTGAGGACGATTTCAAGAACTTTGAAAAATTCTTGCAGAACCGAAATCAACCTCATCAGCACAGTAAGTTATCCTTTAAATTAATGTACTTGTAACTATATGTCCAAGTCTAGTACAACTATTACGTTTAAATTTTTGCTCTCCAGGCAGATTTCTTCCACGCGGTTGCTTCTGACTGTGTGTTGGAGGGTAAAGCGGCAGGAAAGCTAATGAGGAAATGTGTGTCAAACCGTCTCTTAAGAGTAATGAGCTGGGATGAGACTAATAAAACCAAGCTTAGCTTTAATAAATCGAAACTGAAGGAAGCAATCTTTTGTGAGTATTATATTATTTCTGGTAATGCCTGCAAATTTTGTTTTTTAAAGTAATAACAATATCATTACAATCGAAGTAAATCATGTTCTTGCAAATCTTTTTATGTTTTGAAAGAGGTTTTAGTAAATTAAAGTGACTATATTTTTTAGTATGAGTGTAATAAAAAGTACTACTGTATTACTGTATTACTTTATTGGAGAGTTTTGTTATCTTTTTTACATTAGAGAAAAATTATTGCAATTTTATGTCTTATTTTACGTGTACGATTTTTCTCTATGGATTCTAGATATATTGAAACTCAGTATTTATACAATCATACTTCCTTCAGGTTCACTTCTCAAGTTATACCTTGGGAGTAAGCTCTTAGATGCTGAAGCTGCTATTAAAAGGTAGCTAAATACGAGTGCACAGCGCTTGGTATAACAAATACCGTTCTCGCCCGAACTAAATACAAGAGCAGACCTGCAAGTACCTCTACATAAAAGAAGTTCTTTTGATTATTTTTGTGTTATTTTATATTAAACATACATAGAGAAGCATATGGACAATATAATAAACCAAATGGTCCATAAAGACCATTGTATTATATTTTACACCTTTACTACGTTTACGCGAGCGTTACTTCTGTAGTAACTTACGATAATTCTTTCGCGTAAACGGGATTTTTCTTCGCGTAAACGGGATTTTGTAATAACTTACGATAATTTACTCCGCTTAAACGAGTGAATTATCGTAAGTTACTACAAAAGTAACACTCGCGTAAACGTAGTACTTGTTCCCTATGCTCCTTATCGTAGCCGCAACGCATCGAAGCGTGCTCGCACGCCCCACGCCTTTATAAAAAGGTCAAGATGATGTCATTTTGATATCCAAATGACGTCAAAAATTTGTCAATATGGAGGTACTGATTGATGTCAAAATGACTCTGACTTACTTGACCTCAGGTTGACGTCTACATGATGTCAACTTGACTAACACATGTTGCTAGATGGGAAGAAAGACAAGACACAGAAAAATTTTTGATAGAAGTAATAAATTATCGAGATGCTAGTAGACAAAATCCTTTTGAAAACTTAGTCGATTTAACCTTTAAAATTCTATGTCTTCCTCACTCTAATGCCGATATTGAGCGAGTATTTAGTCAAATGAATTTGGTTAAAACTAAGTTGCGAAATAAAATAAAGCTTCAATTATTGAATAATATTTTGCATATTAGATTCGGACTCAAAAGGCTCGATGTTTGCTGTAATAATTACACTTTACCTGATAAAGTTTTGAAAAGCATCGGTAACATGAAAACGTACGAGTCAGTGCCCGATTCGGATGCTCATGAAGCAGAGGAAATAAATCAGTTGTAATTAATAATAAAACATAATAATATAGAATACAATATGCAAAATAATATTCAATAAT